CAACGTAACACTATCAAATCAATTGCCCTTTGAGAAATCTATTATTTACCAAGATATATTGATGGTAATTGAATCAAATAGTGATGAATAATTTAAGGACTCAATTAAAAATATATTATTTTTAACACAAAATGGATTCTTACACTTAACAAAAGAAAACTACCAATCAAACTAGAATGTAATGGTAAAGAACTATACTAAAAGTACAAACTATTAACATTTACCATTATATTTTTGAAACTTTGTATAAAAATATACATATATATAGGTGTAATAATAAATTTGAAATAGCTACCCCTATAGTCGGTTTGGTTAGGTTTTTTTTTCTGATTAAAACCAAACCAAACTAAATTTTATCTGGACGCTCTTGTTTTTTACGGATCATAATAATTAATTAACTATCTCAGATATTTTAAAAAAATAAGTTTCTTGTTGAGAGTGGGATTTGAACCCACGCCCTTTCGGACCAGAACCTTAATCTGGCGCCTTAGACCAACTCGGCCATCTCAACAGTTGTCAAGTAATCCTCATGTTTTATATTTAATCTGAATTTTAAAAGGATCAAGACCTATATAACAGGTTTGGACTTTCAAAAAATAGGATAAACATATAGAATAATGTTATAAATTGTGTATGGATGTATTTCCATGATGTAAATAGTGTGAGGATAGATTTTCCTACAGCATATCTATCTTTGCACTATTCAAGATAGATTTTAAGTTACCTTTTCTTGCCTATAAAAGCATGACAATTTACATTGGTAGAGAACACACCAAGAAAGAGAAAAGAAAGAGTTCTACTACATTTTTTCTTATTGCTATTTTATTTTGTTAAATAGCTTTATTTCATAACAAATAAATTAATAAATTTTCAGGTGGGTATATATATATATATATATATATATATATATATATATATATATATATATATATGGTATCCTACTCGCAAAAGAATATAGTTTACGTGATAGTACTAAAATAGACGTACTCAATATCTTCGATCCGAATTATATATTTATAACATAGTTGTATCATTCCGGAGAAAAAATTGCACTAAGTCGGAACTTACAAATTACTAAATAATGGAAGCAACGACTTTTCAAGTCTGTTGTCTTATTGGTCAGTCCACGTTTCAGAATATCGGTCCTCAAGACTTAAACTCATTTAATTTGGAAAATGTTATAAAATCTTTAGTAATGGATGTTCATTATTTTCACTACTTTCATCCATGATGTAAATAACCTCCCAATATTCATCACTATTATGATTGTAATTCCCACACCTCCATAACCCCTCCCCATGATCTTCCCCCATGATCTCATTTGTTAATGTCATGTTTAAGACAATAATTTTGTAACCTTCTATGTAATAGTATAAATAGAGTTATGAAATGTGATAGGGGATACACTTGAACACTTGATGAAATAAGAAAGTTATCTCTTCTTCTCTAATTCTACTTATCTTCTTGTTTTATATTGTTACTTTGAGCTACATTTCTTAACAGAAAAAAGAAAAGAGGATAACAAAAAGACGGAGTTGGGTAAAAACCCCTATATGAACCATCTTAGATTCGGACTTGAGCCAAAATCTGTCGATGAATGTAGACAGAGAAATGATTGGCCAAATTGGAAAGACGCAATTCAAGCGGAATTGGCTTCACTCGAAAAATGTAAAGTTTTCGGATCAATAGTCCGAATGCCTGAAGGTGTCAAGCCAGTGGGGTACAAATGGGTTTTTGTGCGAAAGCGAAATGAGAAAGGTGAAGTCGTAAGATATAAAGCACGACTTGTGGCACAAGGGTTTTCGCGAAGGCCTGTCATTGATTATATGGAGACATATTCTCCTATGATAGATGCAATTACCTTCAGGTATCTAATAAATCTGGCAGTTCATGAAAAGCTTGATATGCAGTTGATGGATGTTGTCACAGCCTACTTATATGGTTCACTGAACAATGAAATTTTTATGAAAATCCCTGAAGGATTTAAAGTTCCTGAAGCACATAAAAGTTCAAGAGAAACTTCTCCAATAAAGCTTCAGAAATTGTTATACGGATTGAAGCAATAAAGGAGGATGTGGTACAATCGCCTTAGCGAGTATCTGCTAAAGGAAGGGTACGAAAATGACCCTATTTGCCCTTGTGTCTTTATTAAGAGGTCTGGATCTGAGTTTGTCATCATAGCTGTGTATGTTGATGACTTGAATATCATTAGCACTTCTAAAGAGCTTCCATAGGCTGTAGAATGTTTGAAGAAAGAATTTGAAATGAAAGATATTGGTAAGATAAAATTTTGTCTTGGCTTACAAATTGAGCATGTACCAAATAGAATTTTTGTCCATCAATCAACATACACTGAAAAGGTTTTAAAGTGATTTTACATGGATAATACACATCCATTGATTACCCCAATGGTTGTGAGATCGCTTGACATAAATAAAGATCCATTTCGGCCTCAAGAAAATGATGAAGAGCTCGTTGGTGATGAAACTCCATATCTTAGTGCAATTGGGGCACTGATGTATCTTGCCAACAATACCCGACCAGATATTGCTTTTGCAGTAAGCTTATTAGCAAGATTCAGCTCCTCCCCAACAAGAAGAACATTGGAATGGTGTTAAGCATATATTTAAATATCTTCGGGGAACTATAGATATGAGATTGTTTTATTCTAATGAATTCATGTCAGAAATGATTGGCTATGCCTGTGCAGGTTATTTGTCTGATCCACATAAAGCCCGATCTCAAACAGGCTATTTGTTTACATATGGAGGTACAACTATATCATGGCGTTCAATGAAACAAACAATAGTTGCCACATATTTAAATCATGCTGAGATAATAGCCATGAAGCTAGTCGGGAATGTGTTTGGTTGAGATCGATGACTCAACATATTCAAGAAATGTGTGGTTTTCTTATGAAAAAGGATAATCAAACTGCACTATATGAAGACAATGCTGCTTGTATTGCTCAACTGAAAGGAGGATACATCAAAGGAGACAAAACAAAGCACATTTCACCAAAGTTCTTTTTCACGCATGATCTTCAACAAAATGGTGAAATTAATGTTCAACAGATTCGTTCATGTGAATATTTGGCTGATCTGTTCACTAAGGCATTACCAACCTCGACATTTGAGAAGTTGAGACAGAAGATTAGAATGCGGCGTCTTCGAGAAATAAAGTGATATTTTCATGAGGGGGAGTAAGATACGCGCTGTACTACTTTCACTCATGATGTAAATAGCCTCCAACTACTCATCACTATTATAATTGTAACTCCCATACCTCCATAACTCCTCCCCATGATCTTCCCCCATAATCTCAATTGTTAATGTCATGTTTAAGACAATCAATTTGTAACTTTCTATGTAATAGTATAACTAGAGGCATGATATATGATATGGGATACGCTTGAACACTTGATGAAATAAGAAAGTTATCTCTTTTTCTCTTTTTCTACTTATCTTCTTGTTTTATATTGTTACTTTGAGCTACATTTCTTAAGAGAAAAAAGAAAAGAGGATAACAAAAAGACGGAGTTGGGTAAAAACCCCTATATGAACCATCTTAGATATGGTTACTCAAATTTTATCTTTTCTTCATAATATATGCTACCTTCCAGAATACTTTCAAGTCCAAAGCAGTGATTTTGTAGCTTTATCAAATAATTATTGGAAACTGTAAGAAATTACAAAATATCATTACTCTTATTAACAAAACAACTTCTGAAAAAAACCCCCCGAAAAAAATATATTTTAAAGCAGTCGCCAGTTGTTTAAGCGACCTGCTGGAATTTCAATTTTTATTTTTGAAAAAACGAATTCTTCTCTATGTATTCCTTCCTTTATCTTCTCTTCACCTTCTTTATTTTGCTTATTGATTTATTTTAACAAATCCTAACGTTTTCAAGTATTTTTGTTAGAGTTTCCAAGTTTATTCATTAAGTCATATAATTTCTCCAATTTTCATTACTGCGTAAATATTTTCCGTGGTTGTATTAATTAAAATTTTAACTTATAGATCATTCTCTAGGTTTGACTCATCTAAGAGCAGGAATTTTTCAATATCTCTTTTTTGTTTCTTCCCAAATTGGAATTATAAGTTAAGAAATGAAGTTTGAAACTTTGAATAGTGAATTTAGTGCAACAAAAAATGAAAAAAAAATTAAAGATGCATAACCATGTATATATTACTAGGGTTCGAGATTTTGAGTTAGCTTTGTGATGTACGGTTCAAATTTACCTAGTATAGGCATAAAATAAGTTATATAGTGCTGAATATCAACGCAAAAGTCGTCCCTTTGTAACTAAACATGACACCATCAATGTACAAAACATAAACTCAGTGAAATAACCTTTATAATTACAGTATTAGATACGTTTTAAATCGTTGTGTTGCTGGAGAGGTAGGGGGCGACCTAAGAAGTATTGGGGAAAGGTGATCAGGCGGGATATGACGAGTCTTCAGATCTCTGAAGACATGGCCCTCGATAGGAAGCTATGGAGATCGAGCATTAAGGTTGTAGGTTAGGAGGTAGTTGAGCATATTTTTAACTCGTAGAAAACTGTGGAGGTCGAGCATTAAGGTTGTAGGTTAGGAGGTAGTTGAGCATATTTTTAACTCGTACCAGTGTGAGGCTAGTCTGATAGGATTTTGTCTTAGACTGCTAGTGATCAATGTTGTGTTCATACTATTCTTCTATTTTCATAGTGCCGGGCCTTATTTACTGGTTATTAGTTTTGCTTTCCATCTATTTACTGGTGCTTGTGATGTTATTATTTCTATGGTTTTTGTTGATGGTCTGATATATTGTCTCTTTTCGTCTTCTTGAGCCGAGGGTCTATCGGAAACAGCCTCTCTACACCCTCGGGGTAGAGGTAAGGTCTGCGTACACATTATCCTACCTAGACTCCACTTGTAGAATTTTACTGGATCGTCGTCGTTGTTGTGTTGTTGGATATTAAATTGTGAAATGTTATTCCAATATTCACACAACAAGCTTATACCAGACATAAACTCGGTGCAATTGCACCTTGTATGATTTTAACTTCATACTTTATGTCAAACCAAACACTAGAAAATGATCCATAAAACAGTTCAAAAGGTAAAAAAATTTCAAAGTAATGGAGAGGTAGGTACAAGAATTGAGCAACAATGATTGCTGGTTCCTTAGAATAACATAACTACATAGATAAAATCAGTAGAGAGAATTATAGGTCCAAAAGGTGGCGAGAATGGAGACTATGCATATAAAAAGCGAAGGAAGAAGAGTAACATTCAAGAGCATACTCTCCCCTAAGTACCCGGCAAGAGTTATCGTTGCATCTGCAATCACCCGAGCAATGGTTCCCGCTTCTGTAGACAAGAGGCCGCCGTTGTAGGTTCCACGTGAAAGTCTAGATGACATGACTCGCGAGAGGAGTGATAAATTTACACCTGGAGCAAGGAAAACACCGATTTATAACGTAAGTGTGAGAACCAAAAGAATTAGCCATTCTCATCAAGAAGATCGCCACCTAAGTTTTGATATATGCCAAAGAAGTGCTATATAACGATGTCGTTATAGAGAGGTCTGACCGTACATATGTTGGTGAACAGAAGTAGATCTAGCATTTAAATTGAATGTGTTCAACATTGCACTGAACTCATTATACTGTTAAAATTATGACTTCAGATCTAATATTTGTTGAGATTTTAATAAGTTTTACATGTATATCCGTACTCCGTGTCGAAAATTCTGAGTTCAGATGAAAGCATAGTCAAAAAGCTACATCCGCCTCTGTTAGCGAAAGATTCACTTATCTAAATTTGTTATATTTAGCCTAATCAATGTACAATCAAGATACAAGTAGTTTTCTCAAGGAAGAAAACATAAGAAGGGATCATACCTTCTAAAACTTCAGCAGATACAAACAATAAGAGCCCTGAGCAGACATATTGTGGCACAGAATACTGGAATACAACTTGAAAGCTCATGAGTATACCAAGACAAACCATAATTTCAGACGCCAACAAAATTTGCCTGCAAACAAAAGAAACATAACTTAATATTCAAATTCTGATGGTAAAGATTCATCGTCCTGACTTACTGTTGACAAAAATCGTCAAATTTCTGTCTAATTAGAAGCATTTATTTTCACCTTGGTCGCAATATTAATAGGTAAGTATTACAAGATGAGACTTGAACTTTGTTATTTTTTTTTATGCAGACATAGCTGCCAAAACATTTTAGGCGAAGCCATGAAAAATATAGATTACATGCATGAGCATTCCGGCGAGAAATTTAAGGAACCAGTGAACAAGTGTCCAGAAAGTAAACATCCATAATATATTCTTGTGCAAAAAGAAATTACCTGTCCTCAAACATGTTACTTATATAGCTCCCAACAACAAGATTTACTGGAAGTACAGTGAGGCCAAGACATGCAAGAAAAACTGCCACAGTGCTTGTTGACCAGCCAAAGTAATATGTCGTGACGACACTAGATTCTGAAAGTAAAATCTCCATGGCATATTTCAGCATAAAGTAGATCAACAATTGAACCTGGATACATCAAAGAGTTGCGTCAGTGGTTATTAAATGGTACACCTTTCTAACAGACAATCTAATCATAGACTTCATGTGATGTCAGGTAGCAGAAAAACGTTCCATCCTTTCTTTTTCTTCCCTTTTCTCTATTACATTCGTTCTTTTGTGCGTTACTAGTGAAGTTCTTCGTTTTGTATCCCACTCCTACAGCATCCAAGAAAGCTCTATCTAGTTTGCTTGTTAACTTGTAACCTACACATCCGAACCAACCTAACAAAAGGTGCCCGAAAAAGAAAAAATCTATGTAGAAGTATGTGGTCTGCTAATTCCTGTGATATATCGGGAAAACAGAATTTGGTTTATGTGTCTTGATAGGTAAGAGGACAACACATAATATCAGATACAAGATTCACATATAACTGTTTCAATGTAGTAAAAGATGAAATGTTCTAATTTGATCCGTAGCCTGTACGACCACCATCAATCAAAGAGGTTTTCCTTCAAGGATCTGGTTATAACAGTAATTAAATGGAATTGTCAGACACTATAACCTTGATAAATAAAAGCTAGAGTTCTGCTTCCCAAATCCATTTTCATTCTGTGACATCAAGATCTATCTTTTAAACATCTAAAGACAAACTGTTGTAAACAAGCAACATCAGGGAAGCAAATGCCAGATACCAGTTGTTGAACTCAAAGAGTCAAATTCGCAGTAAACAATATGTAAATAAATGAACCTTGGCCCTAATTCGACCCTAAAAGCTAACTCATGAGGTGAGTATTTTCCAAGATCCTATAAAGAGACAAAATACTCCACAACTCACCGATGTAGGGCAATTGAACAACCCGCATTTTCAGGGCCTGCCAAATAGTGTGGACAACATAATTAATATGGGTACCTAATATCGGGTAAACCAAGAATTGGGATGGGTTTGACTCTAATGGGCCTAACTCAAGAGTTAGCTCATGAGGTGAAGAGTGCCTAAGAGCATATAAAGAGGCCTATTCGTTCCTCTTGTAAGAGACCACCCCTGCTCCCCCCAAATCCCACACGCCTAGGATATGACATCTAAAGCGTGGACAATATGACATGGGGCCCAACACCGGAAAACAAAAAATTGCGATAGGTTTAGCTCTGATACCATGTACAAAAAATAGACCTTGGGCATAACTCAACCCCAAAAGCTAGCTCATTAGGTGAAGATTGTCAAGACCACATGACAGACCAAATATTCCACATCTTGATGAGTCCAGCCCCATAAATAAAAGAAATAGAAAAATGAGAAATCAGACACACCAAGGACCAAATCTGTTTTGGCAACAACTTGCTAGAATGCAAGTTGGCAAATTGCAAGTAAAGCAAGCATTCCTGTTGGTTGGAGGAAAGGTGACTTTGCCTATAAAAAGCAGCTCTCGGCTTCTTTGTTGAAACACACAGAAGCAACAAAGCTTCAAGTATTTCACGGATAGAAAAATCGTCAGTGTAGAAAAATAGAGAGTGTGAGCGATATTGTAGTGAGGTGGGAATCTCAAAAGAGGGTTATTTCTTTTGAGTGTATAGTGGTTCCTGGAGTATTTACTCGGGACTATGGAGTATAAAATTCTTCATTATAGTGGATTACTTTGCTCCTCTCGGGCCCGTGATTTTTTCCTTTATTCAGAAGGGTTTTCCACGTTAAAATCTTTGTGTTCTTGTTGTTCTTTTTGTTCTGGATTACCGTATCTCGGTACTATGTTATTATTCCGTTGTTATTAACATGAATAATATTTTTGTGGGGGCTTATTCCCAACACATCCCAACTATGTGGTACAACTCAACACCCTCCCACGCGCTTAGGCCTACCAATTAGAGCGTGAACAACATAACACGGGGAGCTAATATTGGGATACACGGTAACAACAATACCATGTAAAGAAAAGAACTTTGGATCTAACTCAACTTCAAAAGCTAGCTCATGAGGTGAGGATTGATCAAGACCATATAAATAGACGAAATATTCCACGCAATAAAAGCAAGTAATTTCACTGGATCACGCTGTCAAACAAAGAATATTACTTATTGGATTACAAAAAGAAGCAAGGGGCTCAGAATTGAACATACCTTCACTGAAGGAGTGAGTAATCTGTATGCTGCTGCTATGGAATTAGCAGGTTGATGCGACTCCTTGGAAGCTTCTTCACTCTCGTCACCATCTTCTTCATCCTCATCTTGTTGATTCTGAGGTGATTTTACTAGCAATGGTTCCACAACACCCTTTTCAAGGGCATCTGGTTCAAGCAACCAAAAGATTAATTATCAGATCATATTTAGTAACTATGGACCTTAATACACCAGCCTTTGCACATTAATGCCTACTTCAGCAATAGAAATTTAATATTATTTATAATGTATCCTTACCTATATAAGCACGTAACGAAAACGGTGATCATAAGGACATTTCCTACTTCATAAACCAACACTTTCATTTTTGAACATTTAAGAAACAAAATGTGAGTAGCACACTGCATTTCCCTTACTCAAACATTGGGTAAATAGCATATTCTACTCTAACCTTAAATAACGCTTCAATCCAGTCTACAAGGTTCAAACATGAGTTGGAAAATGTATATTTGTGAGTGACTAGAATATGGGCTCATAACTAAAACAGGTTCATAAAAATTTACAAAAAGTTACTTCTGGTCATATTCAATGTTCACCTTGGTAAACATTGGCAAGTTTACCAGTCCAAGTGTATTATTCAGGAGAACCATTTAACAGAATATCAAATACTGACAATGCTGTGCACATCACACAAATGAATATTATATGAAAATAGAACGACATAGAAGAGAAGGAAAGAAACAAGTTCAACTTCACCACCTTTTCTCTGAATTGAATTTGATATGGGTGGCCGGGTGGGTTTCATTCAAAGCACCTTGAATGAGAGCACTCTAGATCTTGGACTTTGTATTGCAATAATGATATTATCTTTAAATTCACCTCCCACACTACTTACAATATTACAAATTTTGTCGCTATTTTTGCTTTAAAGTCACACAACATTATTGTGCATTCCTCATTTTTTTCAGATTACAGAGACTAAGGGAAAAGGAGAGCGCAACGGCACTAACATATGCAACTTTTGGATAGTGACAGCTCTAATAACCAAAACGAGAAGTAGAACTTACCAGCATTAGATTCTTGAGGAACATTGTTTACTTCAGTCTCGCGAACAGGTTCTTTAAATGAGATCCAGAGCCATACCAAATAAATTAACCATGCAAAAGCCATAAGCCAACCAGGCAAAGTATCTTGATTGAAGGTTAACTTGTAAATCTTAAAATTTGTCTGAAGTAAACCAGCAAGTGCAGGGCCACAAGCCATTCCAAGTGCGCTAGCACTAACAAAACCTGCTGAAGCCTGCATCCGAAGTCTAAGTGGCACACAGTCACTGATGTAGCGACGGTTCACTGCTCTGGCGGAACCAAAACTGCAATTCACAAAAAAGGGCAAGCCACCATCTTGTCAACTTGTAGTCTTATAATATGTGCAAACTCAATCAATCAAATACTCCTCAATCCCAAAACTAGTCGAGGTTATGAATCCTCAATGTTAACTCTGATTTATCCAGACTTATTGCACTCTTATATAAATAACCTGTTTTTAAGGGCAATTGAGAGCCTTACTTACGTGTTACTGTTATTGCTTTTCATCTATTTTCTGGTACTTATGATGCTGTTATTATTTCTATGATTTCTGTTGATGGTACTGATATATTATCTTTTTCGCATCCTTGAGCCGAGGGTCTATCGGAAACAACCTCTCTACCCCTTGGGATAGGGGTAAGAGCTGCGTACACTCTACCCTCCCTAGACCCCTCTTGTGGTATTTTACTGGGTGGTTGTTGTTGTTGTTAAGGGCAATCGAAGGGAATTATTCAAAATTAGAGATCCTTTAAATATCATATTTGTCTTTACATTGACATATAAGTCTCTATCTTCCTAAAAAACACCGAACCTAATGTAAGTTTAACAACCATAAATATATCATAATTCCAACTAGCCGGTCTCACCTTATAGAATCTTTACTTCTATTGTATTCTGTTCTTAGCTAAATTTATATGGATCCTGAGAGATTGTAGGTTCTTGTATACAATTTCCGTTCACGTGACTTTAGGTCTATCTTGTCATGTAATTTAACTAGCTAACAGTTAATAAAATCCATTGGCAACAATGCACTAAAGGGTTAACAAACAAATACATAAAAGTTAACTAAACGACTTTGCTTTCTACAAGATTGACAATGTATCACCAAGTCTAGCTAACACACATGCAAAATTAAGAACATAAGAAGAAGACACAAAATACACAATAAACTGTCCTCCAACCATCACCACCCCCGTCCCAAGTACAAAAAAGAAATATTTAAAATATCAATAAATGAAAACACATGTATAGATGCACTTAGATGGAGAGGAGGGAGTAGAGATATTTACCCGCAACATAAACGACCGATAAGTAGAACTGGTATTGATTTGAGATCATAAGCCAATGCATACATGGCATTCCCAACAAATAGAATTATACTGCTAAATACCAGAGGTCTGAAATAAGACCTGTTTGACCAAGCACTGAAATACACAGATGAAAAGATCTGCGCGACAGCCATGGCTCCAATCACAATCCCACATACTGTCGCAGCAGCACCTAAGCTCATAGAATAATCATCTGCTGTTGGCACAATAATATATGTATTAACCATGTAAAGGAAAGTATTTGCCAAGTTCAACAGCAGCGACATAAAATGGTATTTCTGATCAACAACTTCTTCCTCAACAGGAGAGGGTAACTCTTCTTGCATGATAAGTGCATGTTGAGCCAAAAAGTTAAGGAAGTTTGTTGAATGACTTAATCTATCAACAGCTGCTTGCATTGAGTCCACTACAGGGTCCTGCAAAAAAGCTCTGTACCAGATAAAAAAATAGTCGAGCATGTCTAGAATTTAAATCTAGAGCTTAACAACATAAGACTATAATTCTTGTAAACCTGAATACATAACCAAAGCTGATTAACAGAGTTAAACTAAAACCTGGAGAGGAAGAGCTGGCTGGTCATAAATTGACAAGTAGCTTCCCTGACGGTCTTGAAGATCGGCGAGATTACGAGATATTGCTCCAACAACTGCCCCTAATCCCTGCAATCATCATTCAGGGATGGTTGTGTTAGGGAACACTAGTGCAAACAAATACAAGTCTCATGTTTAGTCAAGAAACGACATAGTAGCAATGAGTTAAAAGCAAATCTCAGAAGAAAAAAAAACTAGTTGTGGCAGTTGTTGTAGCAGCAGTAGCATTATTAAAGTAGAAGTAGAAGAGTAGAATAGCACTTTGAGATTAGCATATTACCACATGCTTGAAAACTTGCTGAAGTTGGGAATATGGATGATTAGCCCGGGTTTTGACATAGTAATCGGTGAACTTGTAGCCAAAACGTTTGTCAAATTTTTTAAGTATCTTCCGTAATCCAATAGCATTTATTTCAACGAAATAGAGAAGCTTTAGAAGATCACGTCCCACAGCTTGATAAGCTTCTCGCAGCTCATTTATTTTGGATATATCAGGTTGTTCTTGAAGAGAATCTTTCTGTTCATTAAGTTCAGATATCCTGCTCGCAAGAACTCCTTGTTGTTCCAACAAAAAGAGAACTATTGTTTCAATCTGCAAAAGTTAAGAAGAAGAATATCAAATCTCCATGATGTGCCTGAACCATTTTTCGCTATAAGAAGTATTCCTTTGATCCAATTATGCATAAATAGTACGAGGAAATAAAGATAGATTAATTTCTAAGGAATATTATTTACCTCTCCAAACCTATTAGAACATAAACAGAGATAGAAACAAATGATGCAACAGCCATAGCAGGAAACAAATATGGCAAGTAAGACAGTGATTGAAACAAGAGCGCGTTTTCCTACAAGTTTCATCTAGGAAGAAAAATCTTTCTCCAAAACGAGGGTTCAACAACTGATTATTTTTGGGAGACTGAATACTGATGTTGCTTCAGTCACTCAAAGGTACACGAAACTAATGTATAGCATATACACATAGTCTTTTTCCTGATTCAAGAAAAGATCAAATATTATTTAGTGGAAAAATTAGTAGTCAATCGAAGAGCCTTCAAAATCACTCTTAATAATACATCATCCTAGAAACCTCTCGCAATAAAAATTAAAGTGATAAATTAGCACAGGAAGAACAAAATATCTAATACGACTGAGTTGATATGCACATCTAGGAATGCAAATGCATCAATCCCATCTCCTTACCTGGTTGTCCAGCATTCTGGAGAAATCCTTGAGAACATACCGCCGATCCAATGTTACGCCTTGGCTTTGGTTAGCATACTGCTTAACCTTCTTCTTCATTAATTTGTAATTGATATAGTATCTGCAACAAAATTGATCTTTACCATTCAACATAATAATGCAGATTCAATATAAATGTACTTCTCTTGATTACTTTTCTTTAGGTGGTAATGTGTAATTTCTCCTCTTTGACTAATCACTACTGCATTAACGTATCCAGGTAAAATTTTCTCTCTTTTACTAGAAGAATAAAAGAGAACACATTTCTTTAATCCTCAAAAAGCAAACCTTGTTTTTCTGCATTGCAACTATTGTTACTTCATTTTTTAATTAAAATACATTATCAATTAGGATTATAAGAAGGTTTATGGTCAACAGGTATTCAACATATATATTGAGTTCACAACATGACAGTTTCTAGAACTGTGTCTGTGCTAAAATGAAACGTAAAACATTGTTGTCAAAGGCTCATTTATGGCGCGCTTAAGCACTGAAGCTCAGAAAGCTCAAGGAGGGCGCTTCACCTCGCTTAAGTTGCGCTTTAGTGTAAGGCAAGGCACTAAGGCGTGCGTCTCATTGCCCATGAGTTCTCTCTTGAATCAAGCAGCACTAAACAACAAATATAATCGGAAATAAGTGTGTTAGCTGCTAAGGGAAACATTATGAATGAATTTGTTGCTTTTTTCTTGAATTACATATAAATTTTTATTTTTTTCCTTCATTGCTCCTTTTTTAAACTAAAGTTCACACTTTAAGTGCGCTTTGCGCTTAAAGCCCAAATAGACGTAGAGCGCGCTTTAGAGCTTTTCGCCTTTGACTACACTGTCTAGATATTCAGCATAAGAGCATCACTAAGATCAAATCCTGCATAATTTTACACGAAAATTTGTGCTATCTCTAGTTTCCGCCAACTTGAAACAAAAGAAAGGATACAAGAAACTAGCTCTATATAAAGGACATTGGACATACCCTTGCCATTCTTGGATTTGTCTATCCTTCAACTTTTTCCCAAAAGCAACCATTTTTATCTACATTTACCCAAAAAGCAATAAGGCGAATGAGATAAATTGCAAAGCCACATTTCAAGTGATGAGAAATTGATTTACATAGAGTATGCAGCTAGTGTTTTTGAGTGTTGGACATTGAATAAGAAATTATACGAATCCAAATTGCATATTAGCACCGCTAGACTTACTGAAATAACTGAGCGCTAAAACCGCTGTCAAGTCCTTGCTAAGGTTTAAGGGAACAAAATGCATCAGCAAAATTATTGTTGAACACCATTTAAGTTTGACATGTCATGGCAACCATAAACAACTTAAACATCATACCAAATTCAGAGGGAAAGAACTATTCAAGATTTAAGTCAAGCATTGGAAATTCTGACCAGAAATAATGCGAAGGCATCCTCTCATTTTATTCTAATATGTTATGATTTGCATATTTTTATTTTGTAGTTAGATATTACACACTTTTTCTCTACAATCTTCAATTTCAAGCTAAAGAAAACATGCTTATTTTTCAGTTGAGGAAAAGGAATACTTCTTCCACATGCTTATATCAAAGTTCAGTCATTCACATGCAATTCAAGTAGAATACACCAGTAAAACTACAATTTCCAAATTAAAATTAAAACTTGATTAGAAAAAAACTTCAAATTCCATACAAAAGGTGATCTAATATTTCACAAAAAATACAGAATTCAAAAAAAAGGGGGAAATTAAATAGAAATAGCTGTACAACATTTGAGTTGACAGAATTTCAAATAAACCTAATACATACACTGATACACACACACATATCCCATGTAAAAAACCAAAACTTTATAAGCAAAAATTCAGCATTCATACAAAAAGGGCAGCCCGGTGCACTAAGCTTCCGCTATGCGCGGGGTTTGGGGAAGTACTAGACCACAAGGGTCTATCGTACGCAGCCTTATCCTATATTTCTGCAAGAGTTTGTTTCCCCGGCTAGAACCCGTGACCCCCGGATCACATGGCAGCAACTTTATAAGCAAAAATTCAGCATTCATATAAAAAGCTCAAAATTTTCACAAAACACACACACACACACATATCCCTTAAAAAAATCAAAAACTTTATAAGCAAAAATTTCAGCATTCATATAAAAAGCTCAAAAATTTCACAAAACAAACACACACACACAAAATAACTAAACAGCACAATTTTTTTTAAAAAAGAAGCCAAATTAATGAGCAATAGCAGTACATGACTGGGACGAACATATAAACACACATACACACACATATGTGTGTATTCTATGTGTGTGTATGTATATATGTACATATATACATGTGTGTGTGTGTGTGTGTGTGTGCAGATATTCACGTGAAGAGTTCCAAAAAAAATTCTGATAATGGAAACATTACCTTGATCTATACGTGTCCGTAATTTGCAGAAGGTTTTTTTTAGATGAGCATCAACAAACACAAAGCTCTAATTTTTAATTTTTTTGTATTTTTATACAGAAACAGAGATTCAGAAAATCCAAAGGAATCTTAAAAGGATAGCAACAGTACTTCGAGCTGGCTATTTTCTAAACAGATAATTCCTGATTATGATTGATAATTTGCATATAAATTTGGAATTATTCGCTCAAAAAGTGCTAATTCTGCAAATTCGATATGTTCTAGATTTCTTCTTCTTTTTTCATAGCTAACGAAGAAATCCGCAAATTCTCCTAATTTTTTGATAGAGAGGAGGAGGTGACGAGAAGATTTATAATTATGGTTAGGGAAATTCAGTCTCTTACGGACCATTTTGGTTTTGCATAAATAATAGAATTCTCCTGTTTTAAGCAGCACGTGTTCTCTATCTTTATTATTAGGATTAATATTATTTTTTAATTTAAATTTTTGAAACATACTGTAGTACATAGTAAAAAAAAAAAGGCATTCTATTACATTTAAGCTTCCGCTATAAAGGTTCGAAGCAGGGTCGGACCACAAGGGTTTATTGTATGCAGCCTTATCTTGAGGTTCGAGGCAGGGTCGGACCACAAGGGTCTATTGTACGCAGCCTTATTTTGAGGTTCGACGCAGGGTCGGATCACAAGAGTCTATTGTACGCAGCCTTATCTTGTGTTCCTGCAATATAGTATTTTTACAGCTCGAACCTGTGACTTCCTAGTCACAGGATAGCAACTTTACCGGTACGCAAAGTCTTTCCTTCTCGTACATAGTAAGACTGCATTTCTGCAAGAGTCTGTTTCTACTGCTCGAACCCGTGAACTTCTAGTCACGTGACAGTAACTTCACTAGTTACGCTAAAGCTCTCCTTCTCCTACATAGTAGTATAAATTAATTTGATCAGACTTTACTATTTTAATTATACAAAATTAAGTTATAATGATCTATTGTTACACCAAGGCTTCCGTTATCGTACATAGTAGTATAAATTAATTTGATCAACCTTTACAATTTTAATTATACAAAATTAAGTTACAGGATCGTATTAATTATTTTCTTACTGATTCAGCTAAGTGGCTAACATTTTGGTTGAGTCAATTCATCCTGTCTTTTTGTAGCCGCCACCAACAAAATAGAAAATTTTGGAATTATTCTTGTCTTAGCTAACCTAATTATTAGCATTTATGATTTTGCTATTTAAAAGTAATTTTACATTTACTCGTGAAGGAGCAAATGGTAATATTTTAAATTATAGTATTGATAAAATTTATTGAGTATTTATTTTTAGGGAGATAAAATGTACAGTTTGCTGATATTCTTTAAGAGATTATAATTTTTAATCATTTAAAAGTTAAGACGTTATAGTTGGTTTATATGCTAGATATTTTGTTTCTATGAGTTTATTTTAAATTTTTTGAACTTTTAATATATATTTTATATTTTCTGTGTTATAGTTTATATTATTATATTATAAATTAAAAAACTTAAAAATTCGTAGAGCTTACCCCCATCTCAAAGCTTACGCCTCGTCCCGTATCAAATAAAACGTCACGCCTCATGCTCTCGCCTTTTAAAATACTGATAATAACTAATATGATAAACATCATAGTTTTAAAATTAGGTAACATACAAGCAGCAACCATATTTAAATTAGTACGTACACTATAATATTTTCTTTAAAGCAACCATAGTAAATAAGATGTAGTAGTCAATGTTGCAACATGAATGAAAAATTATGATATCATTATGTTAGCATTTGGGACCCTTCATTTATGATTTTGTTTAAATATTTGGCCCACTCTCGTATGATCCTTTCTCCTTGGAAATTTGTTTTTTTTTTCTTTTTATATGGAATCTCATCTAAGATTCTTTTCTTCAATCTGTGGCCCCATTTGGTTCAAAGAATCTAAATATTCATATATTTTCCCCACAAAGTTTTCTTAATTAGCATTCATAATAAATTTACTTGAGATACAACCCAAAATTTTAAAATTATTTTGAGCCTATTCAACAAAAATCTCATGTATTTTATTTATTTGTTTGATTATGTGTTAATTTTTTCTAGTAAAAAAAAACTTTGATTATTTGGATATCAAATAACATGTGATGTCGTTAAGGATGAACATAAATGAACAATTTATGATGTCATTATGCTAGCATCATGGGGCCGTAAATAGAGGTATAGTTAGTATTTGAAGTTTATGAGTTCTCAACTTGCCAATGAACTCACGATTTACTTTAGTTACTGAGTTTGTAATTAAATATTATATATATTTAATAATTTTTTAAATACAAATACAAAATCTAAGCAAAATTAATGGGTTCGTCAGAATCAATAACTCATTCTCTAGCTCTGCCCCTGGCTAGAGGTGTTCATGGTTCGGTTTGGATCGGTTTTTCCCTAAAAAGAAACCAAACCAAGTAAGTCGGTTTTTCAAATATTAGAACCAAACCAAACCAATTAAGTTGGTTTTTTCTCGATTCGGTTTTTGTCGGGTTTTCGATTTTTTCGGTTATTTGTCGATTTTTTCTTAAATATAAGACATACACTACCAAACACATATTCCGGCGACCACATTTTCAACGTAACACTATCAAATCAATTGCTCTTTGAGAAATTTATTATTTACTAAAATATATTGATGATAATTGAATCAAATACTGATGAATAATTTAAGGACTCAATTAAAAAAATTTTTTTTTAACATGAAATGGATTCTTACACTTAACAAAAGAAAACTACCAATCAAACTAGAATATAAAGGTAAAAAACTGTACTAAAAGTGCAAACGATTAACATTCACCATACAAATTCTGAAACTTTGTATAAAAATATACATATATATAGGTGTAATAATAAATTTGAAATGACTACTCCTATAGTCGGTTTGGTTCGATTTTTTTCGGTTATTTTTTTATTAAAACCAAAACCAAACCAAATTTGATCGGTTTTTAAAATTCAAAATCAAAACCAAACCAAACCAAAAAGTATCGTTTTTTTGGTCGGTTTGGTTTGTTTCGATTTGGTTCGGTTTTCCGGATTTTTATGAACACCCCTACCCCTGGCCGTAGAAGTGGTCATGATCTCATCCCCACCTTCAAAAGTTATAAAAATCAAAAAAAGAAAGGAAAATAGAGAGTATATGCATTTGCAGTAAAGATCGGCCTCATTTGTTTTTATTAATGTTGGCCTAAGTTCAGATGAAGTTTTGAAGATTGACAAAATGAACTCAGTCATGAACCAGGTCCATCATGTGAGACATAGTGTTGATATGCTTACACATGTGACATACGTGTGAAGAAGATAAGTCTCAAGGATCAGCAACAATATCTTCTGAGTTGATCGAAAAGGTTGCATAGGATAAGGAGTTGAAGTCTCCTTATGTAAAGAGAACTACATCCGGATCAAGGATAAGGATTGGAGTTTGAGTTGTTCTAGGACTCGAATTTGATGAAGGATCAGCAATTCGAGTTTTAATCAAACTCTGATTACTAACTCTATAAATAATAAAGATTGTTCTCTTTTACAGGTGATTGCACATACGCAGAAGTTAAACTAAATTGAGAGCAAAAGAGCTAGGCGAATTTTGCAAGCAATTTATGTGTGATTCAAGTGTGCAAATCTGAAGCTACATGAACCAAGAGTGAAGAACCAATTCCATTATGTTTTTCTTTATTTCTAGTTCAATTGTAGTAGGTGTTTCATATTGTACCTTTCAGCTTTATCTAGAAGCAATTGCAATAGGTATATTGAGTATTCAAGTTAGAGTTAACTTGAAGGTGTCGCAACAGTTGAGGCTGTGTGCTACACTGGGATTAGAGTTTAATCCTTAGGTTTACAAGAGTTTGTAAATGCTGTTTTTTTTGCTCAGTGATTTTAGTGGAAGTTTGGGAAAATCCTACTGAGTAGTAGGTCGTGGTTTTTTCACCTTTTGAGCCAGGTGTTTTCCACGTAAAAATCTCTGTGTTCTTTATTTTATGCACTTTTAATTCCGCAAACAGTTATAGTAAGTATATCTAGAAGAACCAGGTTCTTCTAGTGCGAAAATTAGGTACCACACAAATCACCCCCCCTCTTGTGTGGTATTGACGTTTAGAACATCAATTGGTATCAGAGCAGGTTATCCTTGAAGAGGCTAACCCCTTAGAAAAAGATCAACATGAGTGCACCACCTGGGAACTGGGAAGGGCAATCCACTGCCAGGCCTCCACTTTTCAATGGTCAGTACTATTCTTGGTGGAAGAACAGAATGAGAGATCACATTATAGGGGAAGATTATGAACTTTGGGACATAGTCACTGATGGTCCCCTAGCAACCACTAAGAAGAATGCTGAAGGAATTGATGTGCCAAAAACAAGGGCTGATTGTACTGCTGAGGACCTGAGGAAGTGGGAGAAAAATGCTAAGGCCAAGAAGTGGCTTGTATGTGGTCTAGGACCAGACGAATACAGTAGGATCCAAAGCTGTACAACTGCTAAGGAAATATGGGACACTCTGCAAGTGGCTCATGAAGGAACACCTCAAGTGAAAAGATCAAGAGGAATACTTCTGTATTCTCAATATGAGAATTTTACTATGAAGGAAGGACAAACTATCCAGGAGATGTATACTAGATTCACCACTTTGACAAATGAACTTGAATCTCTTGGAAGGATTATCCTGGAGGAAGACAAGGTTGAGAAGATTCTGACAAGAGTTCTGCCAGTCACATGGGAAAGCAAAATCACTGCCATTCAGGAATCAAAGAACATTGCTACTCTCAGACTGGATGNGATTCTAACTAGAGTTCTGCCAATCTCCTGGGAAAGCAAAATCACTGCCATTCAGGAATCCAAGAACATTGCT